TGCGGTAACTTTGTGGAGCAGGAGCCGGCCTCGTATATCACAGTGTCAGAGAGGCCGACCCCTGGAGTCGGAGGGGACGAGCCCGGTGTCGGCCAGGAAACACCACAGGGCTGATTCAGCGCTGGATATAAAACAAAACGACTCTGGAAGAGAGAGAGAGAGAAAAGGCCCGAGGAGAGAAACGGAAGCTGCCACACAAAGTGTTCTGAGAATGAATGATTTGTGTTGCGTTGTGTAAACACTCTGCTGTATAAACATCTTTGTCGTGTTCCATTGTGAGAGTTTTGTGACTTTACTTCTGCTCCTCACTTCTCTCTGATGCATCACACACTATCTCCTCCCACTTCTTTTCCACACCGTCCTCACACGAACACGTTCATCTCTGACGGACTCTCGTAAACCTGAGCGGACACTCGCGGCGGGTGACCGTGTCGTGGGTGGTGTCCGTCTCGACTGTCCTCACCCTCACCGTCTCTCCGCAGGCACTCAGTGTAACACCGCAGCGATGGCGGACATCGTGCTGCTGGTCGACGGCTCCTGGAGCATCGGTCGCATCAACTTCAAAACCATCCGCAACTTCATCGCTCGCATGGTCAGCGTCTTCGAGATCGGCCCTGACAGAGTCCAGATAGGTAAAGTATCAACAACGACTACAACACTGCTGTACGTCTTCAGACACCCTCAATACTACTGCCAGACATTGTTTAATAATACTGATACTACTCTTAGAGCCAGTGTAGTACTGTAGATTGTATTTATAGGTTTGTTTTCCCTGCAGGTCTGGCTCAGTACAGCGGAGACCCAAAGACTGAGTGGCACCTGAACGCCCACCTGACCAAGGCGTCGCTGCTGGACGCTGTCTCCAACCTCCCGTACAAAGGAGGAAACACCATGACAGGTGATTTCATGTGTTGTTAGCCAGAGAGGACTAAACCAAACCTAAACAAGGAAATAGAATTCCTCTCTTTGTTTGGATTCTTCGTCAAACCCATTTATTTGCGTCACACAGGAATGGCTCTGAACTACATCCTCCAGAACAACTTCAAAGCCAACGTGGGAATGAGAGCCGAGTCCCGCAAAATCGGCGTCCTGATCACAGACGGAAAGTCCCAGGACGAAATCGTTTTCAACTCACAGAACCTGAGGGACAGCGGCATCGAGCTGTACGCCATCGGTGAGTGATATCTGTCAGCTGGGAATCTGAGACGTGAGGATGAGCTCTGAAGTGATGGTGGGATGATGTTGACTTCAGAGAAGTTTGGTGAAAATTACTAATGAAAGTTTTCATGTTTCAGCTCTTTAGGTCGTTTCAGTACATTTATGAAAACATTTCTTCTCCCTCAGGTGTGAAGAACGCCGATGAGAACGAGCTGAGGTCCATCGCCTCCGATCCCGACGAGATCCACATGTACAACGTCAACGACTTCAAATTCCTTGTTGACATCGTGGACGACCTCACCACCAACCTGTGTAACAGCGTCAAGGGTCCAGGTGGGAAACGAGCGGGAGAGCGTCAGAAAACAAGTTTTGAATTCTTGCAGTTAAACATTAAGTCGTCGTGTTTTTTGAAATTTTATTTTAACACATAAAAACACATGTTTGAGCAAAGGAAGGATCTAATATTGGAACTTTAACAGCAACAGTCTTCGACTCGAGGACAAGTCATGTCGGATTCTACCTTTTAAAGACGAACTGTAAAGTTGAAATGCTCGGCTGCAGCTGTACCTGCAGTTGATTCTTTAAATGCTGCAGCGTCAGATTTACACCTTCTAGTAATTACCGGTGTTTGAGGTCAGATGGAAACTTTACAGCTTCAGGATGTTTTATTTTTCCGGAATTTACAAAACCACAGTTTTGACTGACAGCCATAATTTTCTGAAATTTTATTACAGGCTTTTAGGCAGTTTAACAGACGCTCGAGGGCTCGACACAGACAACCTGAAACTCTAGTCCAAGTAAAGACACTTCAGCAGAGTTACACTTCCTTTGGTTGAGCTGTTTGGATGAGGAAACTAAAACTGAGTGAAGTGGATCAGAGAAAAGAACCATGCACTCATTGTTATTACAGAGTGAGATCAAGTATAAAATCGATTATACTCTCAAATTAATACAAACAACTGAATAATCACAGATCAGTCGACTTCACCGACGACCAGAAACTATTTAAACTATTTCAGATCATCGACGTTCCTTTCTCTGAAAGTGCTTTTTGTCTGTAAATCAGTTTTAAGAGGAAACTTTAAAAAAAGCCTTTGTCAGAGCCGCCAGCTTCTCTGTCAGCGGAGCAAACTCGTCCAGGGCAGATTTGTGGCGGCAGAGTTCACCGAGTGAAATACTTGACATGTGGGATCGTATTCCAGCTCCTGCTTCTTCCCTTTCAGGAGGCGAACTGATGGAGCCCACCAACCTGGTGACCTCGGAGGTGACCCACCACTCCTTCCGTGCCACCTGGACGCCGCCCGACATCCCTGTGGACAACTATCGCGTCACTTACGTGATGGCAGCAGGAGGACCCACCCAGGAGGTGAGCTAACGCTACTCCACTGTTCCGTCCCTCTGTAACCTGGTTCAGATGTTTAAACCTGGTTCAGATGTTTTAACCTGGTTCAGATGTTTAAACCTGGTTCAGATGTTT